TGCGTGCGTGCGTGCGTGCGTGCGCGTGCGCGTGTGCGCGTGCGCGTGCGCTCGCGCGCGTGCGTGCGTGCGTGCGTGCGTGGGCGTGCGCGTGCGTGTGCGTGTGCGTGTGCGTGTGCGTGAGCGTGCGTGAGCGTGCGCGTGCGTGCGTGTGCGTGTGCTTGTGCGTGTGCGTGTGCGTGTGCGTGTGCGTGTGCGTGTGCGTGTGCGTGTGCGTGTGCGTGTGCGTGTGCGTGTGCGTGTGCGTGTGCGTGTGCGTGGCGTGGCGTGGCGTGGCGGGGCGGGACGTGGCGTGGCGTGGCGTGGCGTGGCGGTCTGTGTGTGTGCGTGCGTGCGTGCGTGCGTTCGTTCGTTCGTTCGTGCGTGCGTGCGTGCGTGTGCGTGTGTGCGTGTGTGTGTGTGTGTGCGTGTGTGCGTGTGTGTGTGTGTGTGTGCGTGTGTGTGTGTGAAGATGTGTCTTCTTCGACCCCCGAAGTACCTTCTCCTCCCTTCGTTCGTTCCTCCCCTCCCCGTCGGGCCGCGGGCATCCCCGGGGCTCAGAGCCGGGGGCGGTGCGCCCGAGAGCAGCAGCCGCGCTTCCGAGGCCGAGTTCTGGAGCGGCGCTGGCGCTTGGCCACACGTGGCTCGGGGGTTGCCGAAGGTGCCCCTGGCCCGAGGTGCTCGACGACACGCAAGAGTGGCCCTGCGCGAGAGTAACCTTCGGTGCGCGGCTTCAGGGGGAGCCGCGGGAGATGCCAAACTCGAGAACCCAAGGCGCTGCCACTACATCGGTGCTGACTCATCCCAGGGCCCCAGAGTGCCCACACCAAGGGTCCCTCCGGCGAAGGGCCACTCTTACGCGGAGCTGAGGTGCCCCCCAGCTTTTCGCGAAGCCTTGAAGCTTTCTGCTATCTGTTCGTGTCCTCCGAGGGGTTCCCACAACAGCCCCGCACGCTTTCGCCAAGCGCGGCGTGCGCCCTCCTAAATGGTAGAGGCTGCTTGGACGACTCGCACCCGAATAGAGCGACATCCAAGCCATGAGGGGATGTGCGGCGCAAGTCAGTGAATTAAGGAAGACTTTGAAAATACGTCGATGCATTCGTTGTCAAAATCGGGCTAGCGGTTCGTGCCTTGTGGGACTCCTGGGAGCCAAACTGGCCACTGACGATGTGCATACCCTCGGTCGGAGCAGTACTCGGAATGCTCTTCTTCTTCCTCCTCCTCCTCCTCCTCCTGCTCCTCCTCCTCCTCCTCCCTCCCTCCCTCCCGCCCGCCCGCCCGCCCTCCCTCCATCCCTCCCTACCTCCCCTACTTCCCTCCCTCCCTCCCTCTTCTCTCCTCCCTCCGCCCGCGCCACCTCTCTATCATCCCTCCACCCTCCTCCCAAGACCTCCCTCGCCGTAACTCCACAGCTCGTCCCTCCAAGCCCCTCCCTGTCACTCACCATCCCTCTCCATCCATCTCATCCATTCCCTTTACCTCCCCCTCCTTACCCTTCCCTTCCTGGTCCACCCCTTACCTCCGATCCCTCTTCCTACGGAGCAACGTTTCATCCCGAGCCTTGTATTGACGGACCCAAGGGCTCAACGATGCCCCCCCGGGAAGCCCAAAAGCCAAACAAAAACCTCCTGCCGTTTTTGCTCGCGACAAGCCTTGACATCTGCCGACATGATGTATTGTAATCCTCGGTCCCAGAAATCCAATCCGTTTCCCCAAAGATACTTTTTCGCCCCAGATCCGCTTTGGATGGTCCCGCTGGGGACCGACAAACTACCCCCGGAGCTGACATCGGGCAAAAGCCACCAGTTGACAAAAAACAGATCGTCAGAAATCTGGGAGTTGAGCTCTCCCTCCACCGTCCCGTAGATGATTTTTAAAATGATGGGAACGTGTCTTTTAACTTTCGCTTTCAAGGGCGACCTTGTTTTTCTGGCTCTGGGGTCAGGGCTGGCCCGCTTTGAAATTATCGTTCGCGCCGTTTGCTGTTCGGTTCCTTTTGTTGCTGCTGTTTTGGATTCTGTGTAGGGCTGCCGTTTTCCCGTCATGGGTGGCCGAAGCCCGAAAAGATGGCAACAACCCAGAAAACGCCCCCAGCGATTGAATCATCATCTAGGCTCCTTCCCTCCTCCTACCAGCCCGGCTCGCTCTGACATTTCAAGCTGCGGCCCTCCCGACCTGAGAGGCGGGCGACGGCTTCAAGGATCTCAGTATGACCTGGCGCGGCGCAGCAGGGCCGGTAGACGAGCCGAGTCGGACTGCGCTGCCTCGAGCACTACAGCTAGAGAATGAACGAACTTTATAGACAGAACCTTTCCGAGGCCCGCACGGGTTCCTTGGATCGGAGCTGGACCCCTCGAAGCGCGCCAGGACCGGCGCCTGCCGCCATGTGGTCTCAGACACCGATCCACACAATTCGCGCGGACCTCCGTTACACTCATGCTCATGCAACTTACTGTTGCTCTTTCGAACTTGGCGGCGCGCAGAGGGGGGTAGGGGGAGGGGGGAAGGCTTCTTAGAAGGAGGCTGCTTCTCAAAAGGCGCCGGCCTGACATTTGTAGACAAGGCCCGCGCCCTCGAAGAAGCAGGGGTGCTTCAAAGAAGCCTTCCCCCCTCCCCCTACCCCCCCGTGCGAGCCGCCAACGAACAGCGCGGAGGGGACCACTCGAATCTAGAAGAAAACGTTTCCGCGCCGGCTTCACGGGCGCAAGATCTCGACCTGGAGCCGCCCCACCCCCGCACGACGGTTCCCTCCAGCATGCCCACGTGGCATGCTGTAGGCGTTTCGGTGGGTGCTCTGCAGCTGCGTCCTCCCACCGTCGTCTGGGTCGCACATATCGCCGTATAATGTGGTCTGGGTGCCATAGAAAAAATCATACCAGAGAAACAGCCCAATCATAATCTTTTGAGGGCCATAAAGCTACGGGGCTATAGGGCGATAGGGCCATAAGACTATAGGTCTATAGGGCTCTAGGGCTATAGGGCCATAGGGCTAGAGGGCTGTAGGGCTATGGGGCTATGGGGCTCTGGGGTTATGGGGCTGTGGGGTTAGAGGGCTATAGGGCCATAGGGCTATATGTCTAGAAGGCTATGACGCTACAGGGCTATAGGACCATAGGGCTATCGGGCTATAGGGCTATATGGTTATAGGGCTATAGGGGTATAGGGCTACAGAGCTATAGGGCTATAGGGCCATAGGGCTATAGGGCTATAAAGCTATGGGGCTATAGGGCTACAGGGCTAATATAAGGCTGCAGGGCAAAAATAGGGCTATAGGGCTATAAAGCACCCGGGCACCCGGGTACCCAGGAACCCAGGCATGCCGCCGAAATCTTCGCCGTACCTCACCTAACCATACGAATCCGCTAAAGCCCTATAGGGGCAAACCCTGATTGGGGAATCAAATAGCCCATGTGGCTGTGTCTTCCCGTAAGTTGCTGCACCACCGCCTGCTCGTGTGAGCAAACAGAAACCACGAAGAGATAATGTGTCCAAATTTCTCTTCTGCCGCATGGGTCGTGCATTTGATCCAGTCAGGCCACGCTCCTAAGGTGTCCTCGACGATATCCGGCACATCCCCATTTCCACCTATGCATGAGAACCTTCCTGTTCGGAAGGTGCCCTGAGCTTTTGAGCTTTTTGATCATCAAAACCATCCGCAGCATACTCCATGGTGCCCTTCGCAATGTGTCTTCCAGGTCCTTTGTAGCAACCCATGTTTCGCTCCCATACAAAACCGCCCATCCGACCGCGCAGCCGAAGATGCGGAACCTTGCAATGAGCGAACGCCTGCGATCAATCAAACTTGAACGTAGTGGCCTGAACCTCCTCTAGCGGCCCCAATCCCGTTGTCGAGCTCGGTCTCGCGCGGGCGGTCACAACCTGCCTTGAGGCCCACATGCGGCACTTGACACGCGACAGGACCGGCGCGACGCAGAACGTCAAAACGTAGAACGTAGGACGTGAATTTGTGGTTGCGATTTTTGGGCTTTTTTGTTTTTTTTGTTTCGAATATTTGGCCACCACATTCTATATCTGCCCAATCAGCGAGCGCCGGGGCTGGCCAGCGCACGCCACCAGTCTGGGCAGCCTGCTCCTCCGGACGCCCAGGTCTCCGGGGTGGCTTTCGACAACGACAGGCGCACCCCACTGCTCGCAGAAGTAGCTGCTTGCAGATGGCCCGACTCCGCCGCGGGCGAGTTACACTCCAGCACATACAGTCGGGGCCTTGACCTAAGGAACCCTAAATAAGGAACGAGGCCCCTGTTTCCCTTAACTTAAACTTCGATTCCCCATGGAAAGCCTAAGGAAAACCCAAGGCAAACTGTAAAACAATCAAGGAACACCGAGCCCCTCCCCAACCAAAAGGGTTCCTTCTTCAGGGCCCCGACTGTAGAGGAAGACACATTTTCCAGACGTTTGAGAGGAGGCACTCTGCGGCTAGTGGCACGCGCTCGGTGGCGAAATATTGCCTCTGGACGCGATGCCAGTCCCTGCTTGCCGGCTGCTCCGCGGGCGCCTGAGCGCCTCGACAGGCTCAGTCAAGTGCAGCGCCAGCAAGCACGACGGCATCAGCGAGGCGCAAGTCAGGGAGTCGCCACACAAACTTATAGAGGGCCACGTGCGAACCCTACCCCAACCCCCACGATTTCTGAGGGGGAGGGGGGGTTCACTTCGCTCGGGAGCTCCCGAGCGAAGTGAACCCCACCCTCCCCCTTAGAAATCGTAGGGGGTAGGGGTGGGGTTCGCATCTGCCCCCCTAACTTACCTCACCGTTGTTGAGGCCCCACCGTTCCCGCTGCCACGTTTTCTCGGCATCACCGCAGACGTCTTCTGCTGTGGCATCGGGCAGCTGAGAGGGCCCCCCCCCTGCTTCGTGCCCCGCAGCACATGATGCGACTTACAGAAGGGGCGTTGACCTAAGGGACCCTAAATAAGGAACGAGGCCTCTTTTTCTCACAAGTTTAACTTCGATTTCCCACGGAAGCCCTAAGCAAAACCAAAGGCGAACTGCAAAACAACTAAGGAACACCGAGCCCCTCCCCAACGAAAAGGGTTCCTTCCTCATTGCCCCGACTGTACTCAATGTGTCACTCCTCACTTCAGCAGACTGTTCAGAATACAACAACAACAGCCGCAACAATCTTAAGGACCCATCCGAGACGCCTTGCCGGGCCAGCTCTGTCCACGCGCACTCGCGACCTGCGCAGTCAAAAGCTTTCTTTCACCAGCCTCGAACGTATCCCTATCCCTAAAAGTTTGACACGCCAAAAGGCGATGACAATCTTAGGGATCCGCCCTCAAAAAACAAGGGGATCCCCAAGATTGGCATCGTGATGAGGAGGTGCCCAGCATAGGGATAGGGATATGTTCCAGGCTGGTAATTCTTGAAGTCAGGGGTCGTCATCCGAAAATGACGCTGTCACTCGAAACACGTATGCCGCGTGCTGTCACGGCGCAGAGAAGATGCGTCGCGCCAGCGCCAGCTCTGAATACATGTTGGCCCGCGGCTTGGTGCATGGCAAAAACGGGATAGACTCGAGCGCAAAGTTCCGCAAACAATTGGGGGGGGGGAATTTGCGTGTATTTCACGCGGCAAATAATTCACGAGTTCCGCGGGATCGCCAGACTTGCGCAGAACGGTGTCGATCCCCTGCCCGAATCATTCAGCAAGCAATCACAGGCTGACACATCCCTGACCTCGGACGCCGTGAATCCTGTAACGACGTGCACCCCAGAAGAGGTCTGGACCTTTCCCCCTCGGCTCATAGTGTGCAATCCCAGGCAGTTTTCTCTCGACGGCCTTGGGGCATGGCGAGGACCACCGAGGCCGACAGCTACAACACCGGATGCAGTTGTGAACAAAACATCTCCATGGAGCCACGAAGCGCATGAAGGATGTACCGAAATGGGCGCGGTGGGCGCAGGCAAAAGTGTGAGAGGGGTGTGCCCGAAAGGGCGCGGTGGCGCCATACGAGCGCAGCCACTGGGGCCTTCGATGGAGCTCCCTGTGCGGCCACGAAACGTGTGAGGGGTGTGCCGAAATGGGCGCGGTGGCGCCTTGCGAGCGCAGCCACGGGGGCCTTCGGTGGAGCCACCTGTGGGGCCACGAAACGTGTAAGGGGTGTGCAAATGGGTGCGGTGGCGCCATGCGAGCGCAGCCACTGGGGCCTTCGGTGGAGCTCCCTGTGGGGCCACGAAACGTGTGAGGGATGTACCGAAATGGGTGCGGTGGCGCCATGCGAGCGCAGCCACTGGGGCCTTCGGTAGGGCTCCGTAAGGGGCCACGAAACATGTGATGGGGTGTGCTGACATGGTGGACATGCGGAGAGCAGAGGCAGGGATGGGAGGAGGGAGGAGGAAAGGAGGAGGAGGAGGAGGAGGAGGAGGAGGGGCGCGGGGCGCTGTCTCTTCAAAACGAGGACCCAACACCGCAGGATGGTTGGAAGCAATTCCTTCTCCGTCCTTGATTATTTCACGACGTGGAGTCCTTTAATTCCCCCGCACTCCCCCCTCCCTCCTTCTCTGTCTACATCCTCCAGGTGGCAAGGGGCGCGGGGGCACACATAAGAAAGGCGGGGGGCCCCTCGGAGGCCCTCCTGCCTGCCCCGACAGGAGGCCTTCCTAGAAACTTCTGGTGCTGAGGAGGCGCAGGGCTCTCACAGATCATTCTGCGGGCAGCAGAAGACAGGACCATCGGCACCGGCATTCGCGCGCGGAGGCATCCGCGCGTTCGTGAAGGCCGCCGTCCAGGAGTCGGGAGCGGCCAAGAGGGGGGTGTCCAAGAGGGGGGGGTGCAAATCATGACCGGCGGCACGTGCGCGGCCCAGCGGGGGGACCAGGGACGTAACGAAACGAGAAGAGGCGCCCAGAAATCTGGGGAAATCTCACGACCCCCACCATGATATCCACCCCCCCCTAGTCATCACCCCCCTCTTGTCCGCCCCCGAAGGAGGGCCGTCCAAGAGGGGGGACGGAGAAGCTCCAGAGACATCGGAAAGGGGGGCCGGGAGGCGAGCAGCGGAGGTCCGCCAGAAGCTTCTCGACCGCTCGGCCGCCTCAGGAAGCGGGCCGCTCCTCGCTAGCAGCAGGTGCAGACCGTGACTGACTACCTACCAGACCAACCCAACCCAACCCGAAGACCCGAAGACCCAACCCGAAGACCCGGCATTCGCGCGCGGAGGCACCCGCGCGTTCCTGAAGGGCGCCGTCCAGGAGGGCCGTCCAAGAGGAGGGCCGTCATCACCCCCCTCTTTCCCGCTCCCGATGGACGGGCGGGCGCTTCCAGAGAGCGGGGGCCGCGCCCCGGGAAAACGGAGCGGCGGGGCGCCGTGGCGAGGAGCCCGCGGGCGGGCCAAAACCAGCACTGCAGCGCGGGCGCGGTGCGAGGCCGGCCATCGCGCGGACGTGCCGTCCCTGTGCACTGCTGCTCGATGTCGTGCGCGTGCGCGTCTAGGAGGCCACAGGCGAAGCCTCCCCCACCCCGCCTCCCCCCCGCAGAAGTCGTGGGGAGGTAATTAGGGGAAGGGTTCGCGCGTGGCCTCCCGATTTCGTCGCAGGCTGACCCCAGATGTTCCCCGATGGTGCTCGCCGAGAGAAGAGCGCAGCACACGTCCGAGTGGATGCCAAGGAGAGAGGACGAGAGAGAGAAGCAACGAAGGAAGCAGGCGGGACGGACGCGAGAAACAAGAAACGAGAGTCTAAGACAACACATCCGTGATATACTATGGGATGCTTAGAGGCCTCCTGGATGGGGTCCAAGTAGATGGAGTTGGAGGATCGCGCCGCATCGCCGACGCATCGTACATCGGCGACGCCGGCGTTGAATCAGGAGGGAATGGGGCTCCACATCGAGCCACATCGGCGATGCATCGGCGATGCATCGGCGATGCATCGGCGATGCGGCGCGATCCTCGGACCCCATCTACTCGGACCCCCTTTTGGAAGGCCTAGAATGCTTGCACGCTGCCCTGTCTGTAGAGTGCTGGCGTACTGCTGGGGCCTCCGGCGGAGAGTGCACGGCGAACACGACAATCATGTGGCCGACGGGCTCCCCCGGCTGGACGTGGTCCTTCCGGCAAGGGGGACGCGGCACCGACAGAAACTGCTGCACGCGCTCGCGAACGGGCCGCCCGGTTTCAGCAGCGTGTTGAGAACGGGAGACGGCCTCGGGATGGGGCATTTTATCTCTGGGGGGGGCCCACCTTCCGACGGAGCCCGCCCATCTCCCCGCCTCCCTTCTCCTCCTCCTCCTCCACCTCCTCCTCCACCTCCTCCTCCTCCTCCTCCTCCTCCTCCAGCCCCCCCTCCGCCCGCTCCGGAAGCGCGCGCCCCCGACCCCCCCCCCCGCGCCGCGGATCTGATTAAGAGGGGCCGCCCCTCGCCCCGCCCGGAGCTGCGCCCTGGAACCGAGGACGGCCCGAGACCAAGAGCTGCCTGACATCCGCGCGGCTCTCTCTCTCGGATCGGCGCCCGCGGCCCCGCCGGCGGCGCCCGCGGCGCCGGGGCCGCTGGCGCGCTCCGTGCTCCCTGGGCCCCGCGCGGTTCCAAGAAAGTCCGCGCGGAGCGCCGAAAGGTTCATGCCGCGAGGTTCAAGAGCGCGAGGTTCGTGCCGGGTGTGGCATTAAAAGGCGCCAGTCGCCGTTCACAGCCCAGCGGGCAATTCTGGTCAGTTCCTCAATGGTGGTTTCCCGATGGGAAGGAAGAACGGCATAAACATAAACTTCTTGCGCTCCGCGCGGATTTCTTGGATCTGCGCTGGACCCCCCTCCCTGGCGCACGGAGCGCGCCAGGGGCGGAGCGCGCCAGGGGCGGCGCAGGAGGCGCCGCCAGGGGGGGCACAGCGCAGATCCAAGAAATCCGCGCGGAGCGCCAAAAGATGATGTTCACGCCGTGTGTTCTTCAGAGGTGCTCCTCCTCCTCCTCCTCCTCCTCCTCCTCCTCCTCCTCCTCCTCCTTCTCCTCCCCCTCCTCTTCGCGTTCTCTCGCCTACTGCCGTTCCCACCCCTGGACCACCGCCCCCTCCCGCTGCTGTTCCTGCTCCTCCCCCGCTCCTCTCCCTCCTCCTTCTCTTCCAACGCTGGTGGACGGGCGCCGGCGCGGATCTGCGACGACGTCGTCGTCGTCGTCCTCGTCGTCGTCGTCCTTCTCGTCGTCGTCGTCGTCGTCGTCGTCGTCGTCGTCGTCGTCGTGGTCGTCGTCGTCGTCGTCATCGTCGTCGTCGTCGTCGTCATCGTTTGCCGGCGGCGGCGAGTAGGAAGGGGGGGGGGACGGGGGACGTTCGAACCCTCCCGAGAGAGCCTGGGGAGGGGGGGTTCGACCCTCCCCCCTGGCGCAAGAATGTGTCGTCGTCGTCGTTGTCGTCGTTGTCGTCGTGGTCGTCGTGGGCGGCTGCCGGCGGCTGGGGGGGTTCAAACCCCACTGGAGGGCTCGGGTAGGGGAGGGGGGTGGGGGGAAATAAGACCGATCACAACCACTTCAGACTGTTCAGAAACTACTTCGGTCATATTACAAACACTGCAAACAGACTGATCGCAACCTGAAGGATTCCTATACAAGCCTTTGTGGAGAACACCAGATTGCAACCGATCCAAGAGCTTTCGCAGAGATTCCGAAGAGCTGCTGCAAAGCTTCCGAAGAGCTTCTGAAGAGTTTCCGAAGAGCTTCTGCAGAGCTTCCGAAGAGCTTCTGCAGAGCTTCTGCAGAGCTTCTGCAGAGCGTCGGCCGAGCTTCTGCAGCGCTTCCGAAGAGCTTCTGCTAAGCTTCGTAAGAGCTTCTGCATAGATCCCGAAGAGCTTATGCAGAGCGTCCGAAAAGCTTCTGTACAGCCTCTGCAGAGCTTCTGCAGAGCTTCTGCAGAGCTTCCGAACAGCTTCTGAAGAGCTTCTGCAGAGAATTTGAATAGTGTCGGGAGAGTTTATACAGAACTTCTGCAGAGCTTCTGAAGAGCTTCTGGAGTGTTTGCAGAGTTGTTGCAGGGTTTCTGAAAAGCTTCTGCAGAGCTTCCGGAGAGCTTCTGCAATGCTTCTGAGGAGCTTCTGCAAAGCTTCTGAAGAACTCCCAACGAAGCCTCTGAAAGGCCTCAGCGAGGATCCATAGGAATTGGTAGGATCAGTGGGAATTCTTAAGATTCCCGAAGAGACCGTCTTAGGGTTCTTGCGAATTCCTCACACGAGCCACATTGTAATCGCATACGAATCACATCGGAACCGTATACGAATCACATAGGAATCGTATACGAATCGCATAAGAAACTAATACACATCACATAGGAATCGTAAACGGATCATGGCCACGTTCGAGCTCAAGTACATGTGTTCAGCTGAGATCATGATCAACCGTCGGTGATCGGACCGATCGCAACCGCTGTTTCACATTCCCATGGGGCGGCTCAAGGGAGAGCAGCGCACCCAGAAGCGCTCTGATGCTCTCCTTTCATCGAGACCTGATTGAAGCGACCCAACAACATCGCAACCACTTCGGACCGATCACAACACTGGTTGTGATCAGTCCGAAGTGGCCGACGATCGGACCGAAGTGGTTGCGATCGGTCTCAATCCCTGGGGGGGGTGCATCTCCCCCCTCCTTTTTTCGGGGGCGGGGGGGCGGTTCCCGAACCCCCCACCCCCTCGTTTGCGGGGGGGGAATCCCCTCCCCCCCGCTGCCGGTGGCGCCAGAAAGCGCTCTTTCGCCAAAACTAAACCAGCAGAATTAGCGGTGGGCGCGCGCGCCCCGAAAACAACCGAACCCAAACGTCCTGCGTGGAAGCGCAATACTGTGGGCACAGTGTTCGGGTTCAGTGTTCTTTTTTGGTTCGTCTGCGCATTCTACGGCGAAGAGAAGAACCAGCAGCAAATCTCCCCCCCCCAGAATCAGGTGATACGCGCCATGTGCGCAACCGTGTCCGCTTGTGCTTTCGCATCGCCGGCCGCGGGCGGACGGCCGCGATCATCGCCGCGCTTCGCCCCCGCCCGCGATCTACGGCGGCTGGAAAGAACGGCAAAAAAATGACAAGGTGATCTTACAGTGCACGCGCACCATTGCAACTCCCGTTGTCGCGTCCGCGTTCGTCCTCGCCCGCGAAGTCTGCGGCGGATAAGAGAATCGAAGCAGTCATCCACCGATTCCACGCAAACCATTGCGACTACCGTTCCCGGGTCGGTTTTCGCATCCGCCTGCGCAATCGACTGGGGTTGCGAGAAACGGAGAATTTAAACAAACAAAAACCATAGTCTCTTTCATCCAAAGGCCCCAGTGCGGCGGCCGTTTCCGCGTTTGTTTTCGCTCCCCCCCGCGGAATCCTACGGCGTGTCAAGGGATCAGATGAGATTGGAGAAACAACAAAAACAAACATAATATTTACAGGGCTATAGGGCTATGGGGCTATAGGGCTACAGGGCTATAGGGCTATAGGGCTACAGGGCTATATGGCCATAGGGCTATAGGGCTATAGGGCTATAGGGTTACAGGGCTGTAGGGCTATAGAGACATAGGGCTACAGGGCTATGGGGCTATAAGGCTATAAGGCTATAAGGCTACAGGTATATTACTGCTATAGGGCTATAGGCTATAGGGCTATAGGGCTCTAGGACTCTAGGGCTATTAGGGCTACATGGCTATAGGGCTATAAAGCTACAAGGCTACTGGGCTCCCGGGTACCTGGGCACCCGGGCGTGCCGCCCAAATCGGCGTCATACTTCACCTAACCAGATGAATCCGCTAGGACCCCTACAGAGGCAAGCTCTGATTGGGGAACTTTTGGCGTTCCGCGCGGATTTCTTGGATCTGCGCTGGACAACCCTCCCTGGCGCGCGGAGCGCGCCAGGGGCGGCGCCAGAGGCGCCGCGGGGGGGGGCCCAGCGCGGATCCAAGAAGCCCGCGCGAAACACCAAAATATTATATGTATGGCGTTTGTTTTTCTTCAACAGATTTCGTCAAACATTAGAGGTGACCATGTTCGTGACCCCTCTGGGCAGCTCAATGCACTCGTATTTCTCTGCCGCGCCTCCGCGCGGTGGGCACGTGTGCAGCACGCGCCTGGACAAAGCAGCGCATCGCGCGTGAGATTAGGCCTCCTCCTCCTCCTCGCTCTCCTCCTCCTCTTCTTCTTCTTCTTCTGCTCCTTCTCTCTCCTCCTCTCCCTCCAACTTCTCCCTCCTCCTCTCCCTCCAACTCCTCCTCCCTCCTCCTCCTCCTCCTCCTCCTCCTCCTCCTCATTCTCCCCTCCTCCTCCCCTCCCCCTACCTCCTCCTCCTCCTCCTCCTCCTCCTCCTCCTCCTCCTCCTCCTCCTCCTCCTCTCCTCCTCCATCTCTCCTCATGGCCTGGCGGAAGGGCGGCGCTGCCGCTTTCTTCTGCGAAGCCACCCTCCTCGGTGCCCCACAAACTCGCCGAGCTCGGCTCGTGGGACGAATCCGCGAGTCAGAAGGTTCCGTCACCGTCGGACGGCATGAAACCGGCAAGCGTTGGGGTCAGAAAGCGTGTCGACGGCCGCACACACGTGCGACGCCGTACCTGCAGCAAGCCTGCGATGGAAACGCTGACCGGCCAGTGTGTCTAGGATAAGGACGGCAGGGAGCCAGCTTGCAGTTGGGGGGGTGTCCTTCTGAACTGTGTGGACTTGCCTGACGCTCCAGCTTCTACGAGACGGACGCCGCCTAAACCGCAGCATGCTTGGACTCACCTGTGAGGCCCCGCTCCAGCGCGGCTCCGAGGGCCGATGGAGATCGTGCACGTTACCACTCCTGCGTCGAGGACCGACGACGCCTCGAGGGCCGCTCGCGCGGCACGGTGCACACACAAGCCGCCCCTGGGAACTTCAGCACCTCCCCTCGGAGGTGCACATGGCTGTCAGCACACAAGTGGCAGACGGAGGAAGGACGCGCCGGCGGCGCGGACAGTGGGGGGGGGGGGGGGGGGGGGGGGGCGGCCTTCCGAGAAGGCGAGGGCGTTGCGTAAAATTGTGTCGGGCGTGTCCCCTTACAGGGGGATTTCCGACGGAAAATAAAAAATACCCCATACATACTCCAAAACATACTCCAAATAATCCCCAGACTATTTTTGGAGCATTTTTTGATTATTTTGAGGGTATTTTTTATTTCGTCGAAAATCCCCCTGTAGGGGGACAGGCCCGACTTAAGCGTAGAAGGCAAGGGCCTTCTCAGAAGTGCCCTGACGCATCGGTGCAGGCGCCTCGGAATCCCAGAGGAGGCTTCCAAGGGGCCGCCTGCCCTCCGAAGAGCACCCCGCCTTCTTAGAAGGCCGCCCCCCCCGCGCCACCCTTGTCTTAGGCCGGGCATGCCCCCCTACAGGCGGAGTTTGAACGAAAAACCAGGAGTACTCAAGAAATACCCCAACATGCTCAGAACAGAACCGAAAAGTCGTCCCCCGACCACTTTGGGACTAATTTTTGAATAGTCCTCCTGGAGCGGGACAGGCCCGACTTCATCCTTGTCGCAGACAGGAGAAATATCCGTATCCACGGGCTCGCGGTCCGGGCTCCTCGGCCGGGGCGGTTCGGCGCAGAGGTCCCGCGAGGCACGTCTCCACGGCATCGCGCACCCATGAGAGCTCACCTCGGAATCCAGACCGCGAGGGCTCGCGAAGCGCAGCGGGGGAGGAGCAGAAGGAAGGCGGGGAGTGAGCAAGGGAAAAAAGAAACGAGGGCGCCCACGGAGACAGCACAACCGAAAACACACCGGACTGGTAGCGAAATGGAAACCGACCTGGGCCGAAAAACCGCAAGCAGGCGCAACACAGCACCCGACTGCGACGCGGCCGAACCGACCGAACCGTGGACACTTGAGAGGACGCAGGGAAAGGAGGCAATCCCAAATCTCCGCCACCGTACGCTTCCAAAAAAGCCGGGCCCGAAAGGTCTAGACCTATCCCCCATCTCAAGCTGTTAATCATGGGTCGTTTATGTTGGCGGTGCCTGGTGATAAACCGAAAACGGTTCAAACAACTTCAATCGCTAATTTTTCGCGACGGGAGAGAGACTGGTATGGAGAAGCGCGGAGGCGGAGAATGAAGACTTCGTCGACGAAGACGACGGCGAGGCTTGGCAGGCGGGTCCCCGCAGACGCCGCCGCGCACGTGGGACAGCGGCAGGAGCATCGGAGGGCTGCGGCGGGAAGCGCATGCTCCTCATGCTGTTGGTTCCCTTCTGACGTCGCTCCTCCTCCTCCCAAATAATTGTCCTCCTCCACCCCCCTGCCTCATCCTCATCCCCCTCCTCTTCCCCCCATCGGTTCCTCTTGCAATTCCTCCAATGTCTCCTCCTCACCCTCCTCACCACCAACACAACCACCATCATCATCATCAGCAGCAGCATCATGGTCATTATCATTACCCACAGCAGCAGCAACATCATCAGCGTCATCATCATCATCATCATCATCATCATCATCATCATAATCATCAGCAGCAGCAGCATCAGCATCATCGTCATCGTCATTGTCATCATCATCATCATCATCATCATCATCATCATCATCATCATCATCATCAACATCGTCATCATCATCATCAACCATCATTAACAATCCGCATGATCATCGCCGTCCAAAACGCCGAACCAGCAACATCATCACAACCATCCTCGCAATCATCCGTAACACGCACCACCATAATCGCAGTTAATGTAATCGCCACCGCTGGCAGTCGTCATCATCGTGAAAGCCACCACATACATTCAACGAATCGTTTTCGTCACCATCATCATCACCATCACAATCAACATCCACATCATCATCACACGCACCAATCAATGGCATCATCATCATCATCATCATCATCATCATCGCATCATCATCATCATCATCATCATCATCATCATCATCATCATCATCATCATCATCATCATCATCACTGTCATCACAATCATCAAAATTAATCGCCACAACCATCGTCATCATCATCGTCATCGTCATCGTCATCATCATCATCATCATCATCAATTCATCTCGTTCCTCAGATTCGTTCTATTGGTGGCCTATCCGTGCATCCTCACGCTGCTGTTCCTCAACCTCCCACCTCTTCGCCCGCCAGACCCCTTTTCGACGCGAATGGACGACACCTGGGGGTTCAACAAGCTTCCAGCTTCCCTGGGCCCTTGCTACGAAAGCCCGTCCGTGATTGAACTTGAGCTGACGAGCGTTCAAAGAGCGCGCCTCCACACTAGCGAGCGTCGCCACCGGCCCGTTGACGCCAACACCGGACTCCGCACTGTTCTGAAGTGCATGGGGCACCACGGAGCGCACTGCGCACCACCACTGCAGCGGGGAGGCGACGCCACCTCTTCAAACACAAACTTTTGGCGCTCCCCCCCGCGGCGCCTCCGGCGCCGCCCCTGGCGCGCTCCGCGCGCTAGGGAGGGGGGTCCAGCGCGGATCCAAGAAGTCCGCGCGAAACACCAACAGATTATATGTGTGGCGATTCTTCTTCTTCTTCGACAGACTTCGTCAAAAAATTAGGGGTGACTTAGAAGTCCGCGCGGAGCGCCAAACGTGTATGTTTGTGCCATTAGTCTCCCTCTTCGATCTTCGCTCCCACAGAAAGGCGCTCCGCCCAGCGTTGTCTCCGGCCCGCGCGGGCGAACGCCGCAGCGGCCACACCGGCGGCCCCAAAAGTGAGAGCGCGTGAGGACAGCTCGGCAGACGCCCCCCGCCGCGATCGTGGGGCCGCGCCTCCTCACCACGCGCCCCACGCTGCCCCCGCAGCCCTCGCCCCGGAGCGGAGGTCTGATGCCTCGGAGAAGCTGGCCGCTCAGCGCTTCGGGCGCGCCGCCTTGGAGGTCCATGTGCGCCCGCTGAGGCCCTGGACACTGTCAGGCGTGTCGTTTGCGTCGCAGGGTGCCTGGATGACTGGCCTTAGGTCGGGCGTGTCTTCCTACAGGCGGATGTTTTAGGAAAAATAAAAAATGTCAGAAATACCCCACAAATGGGCAACACTAATTTAAAAATCGTCCCCAAACTATTTTTTGATTGGCTTTGAAATTCCTCCTGTAGAGGGACAAGCCCGACTTAAGACTGGCCGCATATCGCCCTGGGAGCTGCTTCGCTGCGCGCCGAAAGGCAGCGCGCGCCGACGCGGAGTCCGACATGCCCGCAGCGATGCCCGGGGATGCTCGGCGCAGGCGAGACGCGGCCAGCGCCGGGCAGAATGGGAGGTCAGAGGGAGGAGCGAAGCCCAGACATGATCGCGTCGTACAAAAATTCAGGGCGCGGGGGGTTCGGCTGTTTTCGGGCCCGGGGGGCCCTCGCCGGGCCTCGGGGCTGTCAAAAAACCACTCAGGACGAAACACCCGTCCCGGGGAAGGGGTCGGGACTTCCAGGGACGCCGTCCTGAAAAAATCAGGACGTCGCAGGTCCGGGAGGAGGAGGGGCAGGGGAACGAGAGGAGGAAGGGGGAGGAGGGAGAGAAAGGCAACGGGCACAGGCAGGAAGGGCGCCGGAAGGGAACAGGAATGTGGATCCCGATGGCCTGAATGCGGCACGCCATCGTGCCGCGACGGCGTTGCTCGGGCATGCGGGGCGGCGGGGAACGTCCTGGATTACTCGAGCAACCTGGCACAAAGAACGCTACAGTCATCGGCCTGACCTAAGGAACGGTTAATAAGGAACGAAGCCACTTTTTTATCCCAAGGAATAACGCATAAGGAACGATAAAGAATAAATAACGCATAAGGAACTGAACATAACGCATGTAAGCCTAAGGAACGACCGAGCCCCTTTTGAAAAGTAAGTGTTCCTTATTCAAGCCACTCACTGTGATACAGAAGAAAGAGAACAATGAACTATGAATGCCCTCGGTCAACCCCGCGGTCATCGAGAACGACTTTTCTCCGACGCTTCGATGCTCCTGACCGCGACCTGCATGTGCATCGTCGCGCCGCCATCATCATTTCATGGACCCCGTGCCCGTGCTCTGTGTGCCTTCTGCTTCCCTGTTCAACTGCACCCTGGACCCGTCCTCCTCCTCCTCCTCCTCCTCCTCCTCCTCCTCCTAATCCTCCTCCTTCTCCTCCTACTCCTCATCATTCTAATCCTCCTCCTCCTCCTCCTCCTCCTCCTCCTCCTCCTCTTTCACTCCCTCATCCTCCTCTCCTTCTGTCGCACCCTGCCGATTTCTATTCCTCCTCCCGTTCTGACTGCCCCCCCCCCCATATTCAGCTGCAGCCTCGTCCATC